AGTTTCGCCATTCCATTCAACGTCACAGCACGGTCACTAACACAGTTGAAGATGTTACCACTTGCAGCAGCTGGATTTTCAACAGCAAAAGTGAGCATGGACGATAAGTCCCGGACATGAGCAATGTTAGTTAGCTGCATCCCAGAGCCAGGAATTGGGACGGGCCTTCCTCGAACTATACCTGTGAAGCATTGATGAATGTCTCTCAGTATAGAGCTTAGGCAGAAGCTGCCAAGTCGTACTTGTTCGGTACGAGAGGTAGGACTCAACACTAACACGATTTTAGCTTATTATGCACTTACGGTCAAAGAACCATTCCTCGCAATCCTTGTTGTTGCCAGAGCCAATCATGTATTGTGGCCGGAATACTGCCCAATTTTCGAAGATCTCTGACATGTATTTCTCAACTCCAACATGGCCAGCATCTGCTTTGACTACTTCCTGTAATATCAAGATTATATTTTCCGAATATCTTGTCCATTTCAGGTATAAATGTGAGAATTTGCTTAAATTTTACCCCTTCAACATGAGGAGGCTCATCAGTTGGCTTGTAAATCCCAGCACTGCTGATAAATAGAAATTGCTTTACACCAGAACNATAGATACACAACAGACCCCTTCGACATGAGGAGGCTCATCAGTTGGCTTATAGATTCCAGCACTGCTGATGAACAGAAATTGCTTTACACCAGAACTCTTGGCCCAATCAGCGACAGGCCTACGATAACGAAATCCAAATAATGTTTCAGAAATCAGATGCAAATAGGGTACATTATGATGCACTGTGATGTGAAGTTCAGTCGAGGAAGAAACCAAAAGGCTCTGTAAGTGAAACATTACTTTGCATAGAATGATTAATGTCACAAACCTTACTGTGTCCAAGTCCTTGCCATTGTTATCCAATACCACGTCGAATGCTTTACCTGTGGAAGACGTAATTCAAACAAATCAAGTCTTGCAGCTGCTCGTGTATAAAATTTGTGCATATAAGTGTCATTTAGATGAAAAATGAGTCTTGCTTGTACACGAGGAGCGTGTCAAAGATATAATTTAAATAATAAATTTCTCCACCATCTAATAGCTTAATTCCCAGCCTAATATTTTATACGAGGTGGTTCAATGTTACCTTCTAATACCTTCCCAATATCTGCCGGATCACCCCATACTGTAGCTCCACCAGCACTCACAATTTCCTGCAAATTTTCCAAAATCACCACACCACCTTCCGACATCAACCATCCAAATTCAATTTTATGGGTAAATTATTAACCATGAACACTTAACTGAAAATCTGTTGAAAGGAGGCTTCTTCATCTTATCGGAGCTCTCTTCACCAACGGTAAAGATATTAACTTCATGGCCAGAACCCAGAAGCTCTTTAGCAAAGTAGAACCCAATAACCGCATGCCCACCACTATTCGTGTTCACAATGAGCACTTTCTTCTTCTCTGCTGCGCTGGCCTTGACAGTAAAAGCAGACACCGAAACTGACTTTCTTGAAACTGTGGGAAGAAAAGATGGAGAATTGAAGAGAGAAGAAGTGAGAGAGTGAGAAAAAGAGGAGAGAGAAAAGCGTGGAAGAGAGGAGATGGAAGAAGAAGAAAGTTTTGAAGATTGAGAGGTGAAGAGAAGAGAGGAAGAGGAAGTAAGAAGAGTGGCCATGGATCAAGTGTGAAGTGAGAACCAGCAGTTTGTGATTGTTGAAGATAAAGGTCTTTTGGGCTGCAATGGATTGGCCCCTTCCAACTAACCTTTCAATTTACTTATAATTTTTGAGCGTTGGCGAAGGTTATAGTTTACTTGTAATTTTTGGTCAACTACTGTTGAATTTTTTAAAAGCTAATTTTCTCCAAGCAATAAATTATAATAAAGTACTTTTTTGCTGTGGTAACAAAAAGTGGCTGTAGTTTAGTGGTAAGAATTCCACGTTGTGGCCGTGGAGACCTGGGCTCGAATCCCAGCAGCCACAATTTTTTGCATCATTTGTCCCTTTTTGTTTTATGCACTTTCTCATGGGACAAATGCATCTTCAGTCATTGAATTCAAGCGCACATAAACAAAGAAAGTTACAGGAAAACTATTAAACCTCAAAGCACTGAATCGTATAAGAGATTGCCACATTCGGCACTGTATTTTTTGAAAAACGGAACATTCATTTTTCTTATGAACCCATGAATTCTATTCAACACGACTTGATATCATTACATAGTTCGCAAAACATTCAAAAAGAAAGGACACAGTTATTACTACAAATATTGGCTTATCCAAAAAAAGTAACCTCAAAGATTTATGTTTGAAGGCTACCTAAACTACTGTTGTAGTAACAAAAAATTAACCAAAGTATACTAAGTCCCTGTTTGTCTACCATTTTTCAAAACATTGTTTTCTACAGTAATCAATCTCCTCCACACATTCAAATAATAAAATATTCTACACATAAACTAATAAACTTTCTTTCAATTTTAATCACACATTTTCCAAAAAATACTATTCAAAACTTTATTCTTTCTCCCATAATGGGAGACAAACAAGCTCTAAGCAATATCAAGACTTGCCCTTTTCTCTTTGCGACTGTACTTCCTTTGCTTAACAGATTTCTTAAGATCATCCACGGCGTCAGGAGCAGCAACAGCAGTCGGAGAGCTACAATTTCCCACCATCATTTGAGGTAATAAATTTTCTGTGCGTTCGGTTGCCTTTTGCCTTTCCCGAATTGTTGTTCAAAATCACGTCCTTTGGACTAGCCATAACATCCTTCATCTTCTCATCCTGTAATCGATAACATTGATAAGTCCCAACATTGTGAATAAAAAATACTGAAGATTATGTAAACATTAGTTAAACTATACTAGAATGAAATCTGAAAACATAAGTTATATTAAATACAGAAGAAAAATTCTGAAATTCCAGTGTAAACTGGAATCTGTCAATTAAAATGGAGGATTCACCAGTGAAAACTTGAGTAAGATAAGTAAACAAATATAACTCAAAACACCAAATTCATTATAGAAATGAAGAATCAGACTTCAATTATTCAAATGTCAATGTACATTACAGAGAAAAATATAACATTTTCATAGATTTTGTATGGCATGACAACCCAAAGAAATGCAAATATAATTAATCTATGCCAACTTCCTTGCTGAATCCGACAGAAAAAAGCACTGTAGTTCCTCGTATAAAATTATCAACACTACAACACTAGTGTTGCGGTAATATGAAAAAGATAAACCTGCTTCAAGCAAGATACCGAATATAATGAAATCAATCAGCCTAAAATCAGGTTCATCTTTAATAAAATGTACAAAGATACAAGTATTTGCTCATTAAAACTGTTTGGA